CACTCATGAACGTTACAGCAAACCTTTGCTATGTCTAATACACTTTAGATAATCTACAAATCAATTCATGATAGTCTTCATTCATACCTACTTCCAACATATGAACGACTGTGGACCATTCGAATAATATGATTATTCTGAAATAATTAATTATTTAGGAAGTCAAAACATGCAAAGTGAAACACAAGAATAATACTAATCATATATGGTCACAATAAATAAAACACCTTTTATTTATCACCATATCGATTAATCATTATTTGTTGTTTTGGTTATTTAACTTATTAATTGAATTATTACTACAATTGTCCCATGCTCTTAGCATGCACACAATGTTTACCTATGGTCCTTACTTTGTGAAATAGATCAAATGAACACATTTTCAATCATACTCATTTCACAACTCCCAATCCTTATCACAAGTGTAAGAATATCAAATTCTTGCCACTTATAGAATACATTATATTCTAACGTTTTATGCAATGATCATTTCGTAATGTCACTGCACTAAAGTCACAAAGATTATTGCCAATGAAATTACAAAGTCCTCTATTGAAGATTGTTGCAAGACAATTCCATAGATACGAAGTCTTATATTTAAGGTACATTTCTTTAAATATCCTTCTGCATAAAAGTTTTAAATCTAGACATATAGATTCTTAACGTCCAACTCCCAATATGGAAACATTTCCACATTTGTCATATGACAACTCATTATCAAATCTTGTAATAATAATGTCATTATGGTCCATCCACTACTATACTTCCAACTATTCACAAGCAACCAATCCTTGGCGAACCTTAGATTTTCCTCTTAATGCTCTAGGCATTTGGAAAATTTTAGAACGGTCAATTATTACACCATATGCGATCGATCCTATACTCGAAACGTTTGGAACACGAAGCATAATGTCTTACATAAAGACGTGATACTTTATCAGTCTTTTGCCATGATAACTTCATTTTCCATGTTCTCAAAATTTAATTTAAGAAAAGGGATGCCGTAATCATAATCGAATTTTGAGAATGCAATTCATATATTTGACTAAATTTGATGAAAATTTCTTGATCTAAGCTCTTAGATTTCGAAACGAAGTACAATATTCTCTCCCTTAATTATAGCAAAACAACTTTTCAATCCTTGCAACTTTGCAAATTAAAACACTTGTTTTTTTAAAATTAATATTGCTAACTTGCAACTTATCATAGTTATCATGCTCCCACTAACATGATGATTATATTCATACCAACATAACACTTATGCTCCCACTAGCTTTGACATGTATTCATAAAACAGTTGAACTTCTAGAAAACAATGCTTATTGAGTTTCTTAAGTTCATATTTCTAATACTAAGACGCTTCGATAAGACTTTATCTAAGCATATCAACCTCATACACCATTTCTTAGATAACTCATGTGTGTGTCTAAACGATTCTAGAATGTATAGCAATAAGTCTAAAATGTTCAGACCCATTTGCCATTTCCCACAATTAGAACTATCAAGAGGGATGCCATAATCACAGTTGAATTTGAGAAACCCAAATTACATAATACTATCTTCAAAATCTCTCTTAATGAAAGAGTTTCCTCACAATCAATTTCATGAAGGAGAGAAACCTTATAACACTTAGATTTTATTGTGTATGTGCCCTTATCCATGTGAATTTGTTATAATCATAATCACAAGATAATGTTAGTGACAAATCCAAACTCTTATGGATAGAACATGTTCATTCTTAATTTGCAACACTGTAAAAATTTGAACAATTTTTCACTTTTGGAAACCATAAAATATCATTTGTAATCATAAATAAAAACACTGTGTCAACATTGTATCAGCACAAAACCCAAGATCAAAATACATAAACTCCGGTGTGCGTGTGTACGAATCATGTCATCGACTTCCCGCGATCATCACTGGTACCTGAAACACATAACACATAACACTGTAAGCATAAATGCTTAGTGAGTTCCCATAAATACCACTCTAACACATAATAGCCACTCAAGGCTGTAACTATGTTAACCCTCAGGTCTAGGTGTCTCAGTGGGGCCCTCCATCCCCAACTTTCTATGGGCCCTCTGGCCCTAACTCTGTGGACCCGAAAGTCCTAACTTTGTGGACCCGAAGGTCCTCACTCTGTAACTCTGAATCATGCATAACACATATCACAATAAATCATAGCACATAAATAACATGCAATTACACTGGCATATAACTCTAAAATACTCTATCACATAACTTTGTTACCACACTAGGTAAAGTATAGTGAGAAGACTCACCTCGGGTATCTCGGTAATCTCTGACTCGGTAATGCTGGTCTAACCTCCGCCTAATCAAAATAAATACCCAAATTATTATAACTCTCAAAGGCTAGACTATGTCCTCTTATGACACTATAAGAAGGGTAAAAGACCATTTTACCCCTCTCACAACTCAAAAGCCCCACAATAAACCATACCCTAAAAGTCAACTTTCCAGGTTACGCTGCGCGTAC